GGGGCCATGGATGTTGCATTCCTCGTTGTACTTCAAGCACTTACAATATCGCGCCTATAGCACAGTAGTTCAACAAATATTTCGAGGTTTCTGCAATGACATGGACCAGAAATAGAACCAGTTCCCCGCCGCGGCCCTCGTCCCCTGGCCTTGGTGCATGAAGCCTGTTTGCTAAGTGCAACAGCCCTGCTCCACAACTCCAAAGTCAGGCCCTCGGTTCTGCAGCCAGGCCCCGCGGCGCGGCCCTCAGGCCCCAGCCTGCGCTCCCCTCCCTCGCAGGTTGCGCTGCCGCTGCTCGCCCGCGCACTTCCGCGCCCACCACGCGCTCTGGCGGCTCCGCCTCGAGGTCCTGCTCTTGGCGTAGCCTGGCCGGGACCCCACTCGCTCTGGTCCCGCAACGCTCGCCGCAGGCCTGGCTGTCCCGCCCGGCCGGCCGCGCTCCTTTGCGCCGCAAGGCGGGAAGCGGCTGCAGTTGTGAGGCGCTGAACCGCAGCGGCGGAAGCTGGGGGCGGGGACCCAGCCGCGGGGCGCGTCGAGGTGAAGCCCGGGCTGAGGCGACGCTCCGGCCCGGCCGGGCTCGGCGGGAGGCGGCTCCTCACTTACCACGGTCCTGCGGGGCAGCGCGCCGGCGGTCCGCGACAGGGCCCGGCGGAGCCTCCGCGCCCGGCCCGAGCGGGTACCCCCCGAGCTCTCCGAACCGCTGTCGTCCGAAATCACGATGAAGTCCTCCATGACTATGGGTTCCGGCCACGCTAGACCGTGGGCTGCCGGCGACCCCGGTGGCGGTGGCAGCAGCGACCTCGGTTCCTGGGAGAGGAGGCAGAAGCGGCGGCGACAGCCCGGGCCATCACTCCGCCAGCCCCGCCTCTCTCCAGGGCCCCGCCCCTCAGTCGTGGCCCCGCCCACTCCCGAGCCCCGCCCCCTGGTGGGCTGCAGCTTCAGGACCTTCAGAAAGCAGAGCGAATGGGGGGGGGGTTGGGGGGTAGGGGGTTGAGACGCGAACATGGCGGGGGAGGGGCCGAAGGGGGGCGAAGGAGAGAGATGAAACATGACAGAGAGGGGTAGGGAGAGGTGAAAGACAGACGAGAGAGAGGGATGAAATGAGATGGGCCAGGGTTGTAAGGTGTTGGTATGTGACCAGCCCCTGTCTCCCTTCAATGTGACCTGGTCTTTGTGAAGAGAGAGGGGCCCCTCGAAGGTGGATGACTTGTCTCTGACTGATTTACTGATGGACTAGAAGGTTCGCTGACTGAGGAGTACCTGAGTGCACACTAACAACGATAAAGGGGACCCCAACTTACAGTGGGTGACCCAGACTCTTACTGATGGGATAGAGGGGGCTCCAAGGGGCTGAGGTGACCCGGTCTTTTAGGAATGAATGGCAGGGTCCCCAGCTGACTAAGCTGACTTTCTGCTAAGGTACACAGGTGTATCTATACGATCAACTCCTTTTTTTTTTTTTTTTT